ATAACGCAACATCTGCGCAGCAAATGTGACGTACCAATGTTTGTTTGGACCATGGCGCTGCGATTTGCGTGAAGGGCGCCGCGGGTTCTCATAATTCCGAAGATATCCCTAGCGAAACGGCCAGACACATCGCGACCAGGAACTTCAATTCATCGCCTCCGAGTTCTTAATTCCCTCGAGGAGGTTCATAAAGTACTACGTAGAGAACCATCATGGTTTGAGCTGTCGCTATATCGATCACGAACGAAACCATCGAAACACATTGCACATGTACCGTGTTTTTGAAGGTTGTGTGTTGAACTGTTGGAATCCGTATGGTTTTGAAACCGTGACGCCACGATCTGTGTGAAGGTTGCCATCGATGTTCCGAATTCCGAGGATATCCCGAGCGAAACAACCATAAACATCGCGAGCGGGACCTTCACTTCATCGCCTCCGAGCTCTCTACACCCTCGGAGAGGTCAACCTGATAATGTGTAAATATATCTATATATTTATATATATATAGTTATATATATAACTGATTTATGTACTATGTATAATTTACATCTCTCTCTATGTATATCTGTACACATATGTACGACGGTGGCTCTGCACGGAGTGGGCCTGTCCTCAGGTCCCTTGTAATCCCCAGCCATGCGGGTTCAAGCTCCTCAGAGGACCCAGACCCAACACTCTCAAATCTCTTGGGGCTCTGCGCGGCTTCTCGCATGACTCTTTCGGAGCCTAAGGGGCCCCGATGCGGGCCAAGAGGGCCTCGAGAGGACCTCAATGTGGTCCAAGTAAGCTCCGAATCGCCGAGCGACCGGACCAAGACGCCCAAGATGGCCTCCTGACGGCCGAGCAGGCCTCTAAGGCAACACTCACAGGTTTTCACTTGGCTTTTGAAACATTTTGGCGTTCTCACCCTTTCGGCTTCCCGACGCTTCAAGAGTGCCCAGGAGGCCCCCAATCTTGCCCAAGAGGCCTCCCAAGATGGCCTACGAGGCCCCCAAGACCGCCCAAGAGGCCCCCAAGGCGGCTCCAAGAGGGGGCCCAGACGGAGGAGGCCCCAAGAGGCCTCCAAGAGACCCCCAAGAGGCCACAAGAGACCCCCAGGAAGCCCCAAGAGGCCCCCGAGAGGCTCCCAAGAGGCATCAAAACTGCCCTCCCCCCCCCCCTTAGGCCACCGAGAGCGCTCCGAAGAGAGCCCAAGATGCATCCCTGGGGACTCTGAACCACAAGCCAGGTACGGTGGCGGGAGTGGCCGAAGGTCATTGAAAGCAAGTGCGCCATCATATACAAATACGCATTCGCTTTGATCTTCCTCCTCCTCCTCCAATTCCTCCTCCTCCTCGGCATCGCCATCAGCTCCACCATCAACATCGCTGTTATCCAGATCGTACTCGTCGTCGTCCTCGTTGTGGTAGTCGCGGCCGCCATCATCACAACCACCATCATCAGCACCATCATCATCATCATCATCATCATCATCATCATCATCATCATCATCATCATCATCATCATCATCATCATCATCATCATCATCATCTTCATCATCATCATCATCATCATCATCCACATCATCATCATCATCAGCATCATCATCAACATCATCATCAACATCAACATCACCACCACCATCATTATCATCATCACCACCACCATCATTATCATCATCATCATCGTCGTCGTCATGGTCATCGACATCAATATCCTCAGTCTCATCCTCATCCTCGTCGTCATCAACATCATGTTCCTCATCCTTCCACGCCCGCCTCAATCATAGTCCTTTTTGTCCCTTCATCATAATCTTTGTCGTCATAGTTGTTGCAGGCGTCGGCATCATCATCATCATACAAAGACTCATCATCATTATCATCATCATGATCACCATGATGTTGGTCATCATGAACATCCTCATCATCCTCATCATGATCGTCATCATCAACGGTATCATCATTCTCATCATCATCATCACCATCATCACCATCCTCATTCTCATCCTCATCCTCATCCTGTCTCTAAGGTTTCAGTGCGTGTCGTGTCTGTGTCTCTGAGGCTTAAGTGTGCGTATTGTCTGTGTCTCTGAGGCTTAAGTGCGTGTCGTGCCTGTGTCTCCAAGGTTTAAGTGCGTGTCGTGTCCGTGTCTCTGAGGTTGAAGTGCGTATCGTGGTTGTGTCTCAAACGTTTAAGTGCGTGTCATGTCTTTGTCTCTGAGGTTGGAGCTGAAGTGCGTCGTACGGTGTCTGGGGTATGGTGTTCATAAGCGGCGGCTGGGCCACAAAAAAACCCACCAGGGCCACCAACGCCACACACAACTTCAATGGGGCCTCAGAAAGCCCCAACGGGCCACGGAAAGCCCAACAGGCTACATAAAGACCTTTCCCCCCCTTCGGGGATACGAATCTGGGGGTCATTTTTTGTTTTTTTTTTTTTTTTTGTTTTTTTGGTTTGGTTTGTTTTGTTTTCTGTGTTGTTTTTTTCTTCTCCCCCAAACCCTCCTTGGTTGGGTATTCGTTTGCAAAAAAGCACTGCGGTCTCCAGTCCTCCTCCTCCCGCCTCTCGCCTCTCGCTTTCCTCTTGTCTCCTCTTGTCGTGTGCGTACCTCGTGAGGGTGTGTGTGTGTGTGTGTGTGCATCCTGGCTGCGGTACCTCTTGTGTGTGTGTGCATCTTGCCAAGGGGCTGCATTATGTGACACTGTCGCCACTTTCGAGAGCTGCTGGTGGGTCCAGCGGAGTGGGGCACCGCGGGGACCTGAGCGAGACATCGCCCGCACTGGGGGGCTGCGATCTGCGACACTATCGCCACTTTCGAGGGCTGCTGGTGGGCCCAGTGGGGCGAGGCACCGCGGGGACCTGAGCGAGACCTCGCCGTCCGAAGGGGGGCTGTGATCTGCGACACTGTCGCCACTTTCGAGGGCTGCTGGTGTGTCCTGCGGAGTGAGGCACCGCGGGGACCTGAACGAGACCTCCCCGTCCATGGGGGGCTGCGATCTGCGACGCTGTCGCCACTTTCGAGGGCTGCTGGTGGGTCCAGCGGAGTGGGGCACCGCGGGAACCTGAACGAGACCTCGCCGTCCCTGGGGGGCTGCGATCTGCGACGCTGTCGCCACTTTCGAGGGCTGCTGGTGGGTCGTGCGGAGTGAGGCACCGCGGGGACCTGAACGAGACCTCCCCGTCCCTGGGGTGCTGCGATCTGCGACGCTGTCGCCACTTTCGAGGGCTGCTGGTGGGTCCAGCGGAGTGGGGCACCGCGGGGACCTGAACGAAACCTCGCCGTCCGAAGGGGGGCTGCGATCTGCGACACTGTCGCCACTTGCGAGGGCTGCTGGTGGGTCGTGCGGAGTGAGGCACCGCGGGGACCTGACGAAGACCTCGCCGTCCCTGGGGTGCTGCGATCTGCGACACTGTCGCCACTGTCGAAGGCTGCTGGTGGGTCCAGCGGAGTGAGGCACCGCGGGGACCCGAGCGAACCTCGCCGTCCCTGGGAGGGCGGCGATCTGCGACGCTGTCGCCGCTTTCGAAGGCTGCTGGTGGGTCCAGCGGAGTGAGGCACCGCGGAGACCTGAGCGAGAGCTCGCCGTCCCTGGGGGGGGGGGGGCTGCGATCTGCGACGCTGTCGCCACTTTCGAAGGCTGCTGGTGGATCCTGCGGAGTGAGGCAGCGCAGGGACCTGAGGGAGATCTCGCCGCCCCAGGGGGAGCTGCGATCTGCGACACTGTCGCCACTTTCGAGGGCTGCTGGTGGGTCCAGCGGAGGCACCGCGGGGACCTGAGCGAGACATCGCCCTCCCTCGGGGGCTCTGGAGAGCTGCTGTGGGATACGTTGGTTGCAACGGGCGCATGGCACAGCCAAGGGGAGTGATTTGTTATTACGTAGCCCTTATATCTTGATCGGGGGCCTGCGAACCTTCAGATTTCTGCTCGCGAAATCACATGCGTCCATGTTACGTCGTCGCCCCCGTTGTAGCAATCCTGATGTACGTATGCCCCGCATTGCGCAAAGGTTGGGTACATCGCAAGATTTTTTATTCGTTTTGTTTTTGTCGTTTTTCCTTTTACCAGGCTTGTGAACATATAGGAAGAGGAAGATATATCTGTACAGGGAGAGAGAGAGAGAGAGAGAGGCAGAGAACCAACAAGGAGGGATATATCAATCCATGGAAAGACTGAGAAGGAGGGAGAGAGAGAGAGAGAGAGGGAGATAGCGAGCGAGCGAGCGAGACAGAAAGAGAAATAGAGAGAGAGAGATACCATAATAAGTAATGAGAGAGGGAAGGGGAGAGAGAGAGAGAGAGAGACAGTGTCAACGATACATATACATATATGTATACATTTATAGAGAGAGAAGCCGCGAGAAGGGACAGGTGCTGAGGAGACATGGCTGGAAAATCAGTGCCTGCTCGGGGGTGATACCAGGGAGCCCGGCCTCAGGCTCATGTCAAGCCGCCCCGATCCAGCGCGCAGCGGCCTGTCGCGCAGCACGCGCGGCCCAGTTGCGCGTGGGCCCTCGGGCCTCTGCTTCCTCCTCATCCCCTTCCCGCTCCTGCTCTTCTCCCCCTTCTCCTTTGCCTCGCCTTCGCGCTTCCCATCCCCGCCCCTGTCCACGGTCATCCTCCCAGGCCTCGTTCCAATCCTTGCCCCCCCGTCGCGTATCCCCCCCTCCCCCGCCTCCCTTCCGTCTTCCTCCTTCCCATCCCTCTCCGGCTTGTACTCTTCTGGTGGTTGCGAGTTTTCTAACAGTTTAGCGGAACACCGCAACCGAAACCTACACACCTCCTCCTCCTCCTGCCTTTCCGCTCCTCTCCTCTCCTCTCCTCTCCTCTCCTCTAATCTCCTCTCCTTTCTTCTCCTCTCCCCTCCTCTTCCTGGTCCTCTGCCTCCCCTTCTCCCTAACCCCTCCGAGTCTGATCCCATCTCTTCGGCCCTCCCCTGCAAATCCGACCTGACGGACCTCTTGGCCGTGGTCTCGGCTGTCTCAACGAACTGCCCAAATCAGCGACCAAATGAGTAAGGTCGCTAGTAGCCAAATCCTTGAGCTTGTGACCTCAGTCAATGCGTCAATGCGCAACGCCCCTCCTTTCAATCGTCTTCTTCTGGCGGTCCATCTGTTATTCGTACCCCCCTTCTTCCTCTCCTCCCAAATCCTCGTGCTCCTCTGCTGCTGCTCCTCTTGCTCTTCACCCCTTCTTCCCCACTCCCTCCTCGTTATCCTCTTTATCCTGCGCTTCCCTTGCCTGTCCCTCGCTCTTCTGTCGCCTTCTCCTTCTAATTCTTCAGGTGCGCACTTGTCCCGTCACCCTCCTGCGCCTCCTGCTGCTCTTGCCCTTCCCAGAAGCCATGCTTGACTCCACCCGGCGCCCCCTGCCTCCTTGGCCCCCTTCCTGGCCGTCTGCGTGTGCTCTCTCCAATATGCTCCGCGCTGCGCGATCAATCTATGCAACGGGGCTCGGACATGCACCTCGGGCACCAACAACACGATCCGCTATGGGGGGATGAGCGGGGAGGGAGGAACCCCCCCACAGTGCCACCTGGCAAGCGGAGGCGTGGTGGTAGAACTCCAAGTGCTGTCTGGTAGGGTTCTGTAACCTTCCGAAGCCCCCCCCCCCCTCGCTGCCAGCATCCACCCGCGTGCACCGCACGCTCTCTAGGGTTCCCTGGGCGCCCCGGCTCCTCCCTGGAGCTCTCCACGGCGTCCAGGATGCCCCAGATGGCTTCCAAGACGGCCCAGGCAGGCCACCAGGGCCGCCAGCATGGCCCATGATGCTTCCAGGACGGCCCATGATGGTCCTAAGACAGCCCCAGATGATCTCAACACGGCCCAAGATGCCCCCCAAACGGCCCAGGAGGGCCGGCCCAAGGAAGACCCCCAACACTGTCCGAAGAGGCCATGCTACTTGATTTCTACTTGGTTCTCGAAGAGTTTTCGCATTCTCACCTTTTCGGGTGTCCGTCTCCTAAAGACGGCCCACGATGCCTCAAAGATGGCCCAAAGACGGCCCAAGCGAGTTCAACGTAGCCCAAGAGACCACCAAGGCGGCCGCAATATTGCCCGAGAGGACACGACGGCCCAATGGGGGCCCAAGACTCAAGGGAGCCCCAAGACGGCCTAGAGAGGTCCCCAGGGCGGGCTCAAAAAGCGCCAGACGGACGAAGACCCTCAAAATGCCCCAAGAGGCCCCCGAAAGGCCCCAAGAATGCGCCCAAGAAGACCCGTGTCACATGTGATGGCCTTCCTCTTCCCCCTACTCCTCCTCATCATATCCACATCCTCTTCGACCGTCTAAACCCTCGTCCTCCTCCTCCTCCTTCTCCTCCTCCTCCTCCTCCTCCTCCTCCTCCTCCTCATCATCATCATCATCATCATCATCATCATCACCATCATCAACAACAGCACCATGGTGGTGCTGAAGCTGCTGATCATCAGCATCATCATCATCATCATCATCATCATCAACGACATCCTCCTCCTCATCATCAAACGCATCACCAGCATCACCATCATCACACCGCCATCAACATCACCATCCTTATCATCTTCAGCATTCTCATCAGCACCATCGACAACATCAAGTTCATCATCACTATCATCATCACCGTAAGCAGCACCATCGTCATCGTCATCACCACCACCATCATCATCAGCATCATCATCATCATCATCGTTAGCATTATCACCATCATCACCATCATCATCACCATCATCGCCACCACCACCACCATCACCAGCACCACCACCATCATCATCATCATCATCATCATCATCATCATCATCATCATCATCATTATCACCACCGTCATCATCATCATCCTTGTCGTCGTCGTCGGTGTCGTCGTTTTCGTCGCCGTCGTCGTCGTCGTAAACATCCTATCATCGTCATCGTCCTCATTCTACTAATCCTTATCAACGTCGCAATGGTGATTCTCACCACCACCACCACCATCGTCGTCGTCGTCGTTGTTGCCATCACCATCACCAACACGACGCGGAAGAGTTCATCTGGCCACCGCTCGGACGTCCATTCCCTGTGCTTTTTTCGGTTTCGTGCGTGGTTTTTCCGCCACATGATCGAGGATGCTCCTCGATGGTCCTCGCCGATGGAAACATGCACACGTCCGAGCGATGCCAAGTCATCCCATACGAAGCACCCAAAAACCTCAGGACACGACGCATCACACCTTACGGCCTCCCGCGCCCCACGGGAGTTCTGGGCTTCGCAAGCCTGGGCAACGCTTTACCAGCATGCCGCCACGGCTGCACACGATGGCCACGGGAGGCCGCCGACGGCACAGACGTCTCCGAGACAAGCCAGAAGGTCCAGAACAGCTACTCCAGATTTCGTACGGAAGGGGAGGGAGTCACAACCCTCTCAGACGAGAAGTTTTAGACCCCCCCAGACCATCCACGAAAGAGCGGCCCTTTGCCCAGACCCCCCCCGAACCCTCAAGACAGCTCAAATCAGACCCCCCCCCAAATGTGACCCCCACCGCTTTATTGTGGAATCCGGAGTACATGCGCACGAGGCCCCCAACGAGGCCTCAAGACAGCACCACACAGCGTTGAAACACATGCCAACTGTAGAACTCCACATGAGCCCCTATCAGGGAGCCCGTCTGGTTCTGGAATGGCAGCGACAACCTCCAACTGTACAAATACTCAGCAACTGATGCCGCAGCCAGGCAAACACTCCGGTAAACTCCCGGCTCGCTGCGAACATGAACAACACAAAATGAAACATGCAGAATCTTTGCATCGGGGCGTTCACAAAACAACACGTCTAGCGGTATTTCTGCGCTTTCGCAGGCTCGGAACGGGACCGTGCCACACTCTGCTGGACCGAGCTGGACTGATACGGAGCGATCTCGAATGGTGTGGGCCGAACCGGATCGAGCTGGGCTGATATGGAATGAGCTGGCCGAACCGGATCGAGCTGGGCTGATATGGCATGAGCTGGGCGGAGCTGGTCTGCATTGAGCTGGGCCGAGCTGGACTAACCTGGGGTGAAGTGGGCTGAGATGGAGTGATCCTTGACTTATGCGGACTCGGCTGGAATGGTATGGGCAGAACTGGATTGAGATGGTTGGGCTGATATGGAATGAACCAGGCTGTGCTTGGTTTGGCTTGGTTGAGCTAGATCAGAATGGACCGAGCTGGGCTGCGCTGAAGGGCACTGGGTTGAGCTGGGGTGATCCAGGCTGAGCTTGACGAAGCTGGGTTGAGGTGGACTCATATGGATCGCACCCAGACGGGGCTGGGCTGGCTTAGACTTACTGAGCTGGACTGGACTGGTCTGAAGAGGCAGGGGATGTACTGGGCTGGAGGGACCTGGCTTGAATTGGACTGGTGGACTGGACTGATCCGCGCTGAGCTGGACCAGCTTGGCTTAGCCTAGACTCAAACATACCCAACTGTACGGAGCAGAACTGAAAGGGAATGAGCTGGGCTGCAGGTGGCGGAGAGAAGCTAAGCCAGACTGCGAATGGCCCAGCTGGGCCGAGTTGGGCCGAGTTGCGGCGGAGATGGTCTGAGCTGGACTGGGCCTCAATAGTCTGGAACCGATCTGGACAGGGCATGACTAAGCCTGGAGTTTGCTGGGCTAAAATGTGCCTGGGTGCGTGCTCCTGGTCGTTTTTTCATGTGGTCGTACCGTTGGAAAGATTACCAGGGACGTTGGTCACCGCCCGAATTCCAACGCCAATTCAGATACGGTACCTGGACAATGTACGCCTTGGGCTGTCTTTTGTCAATGTGCGCTGATAGCCGTCGGAACTCTAACGCCAACTCCCGACTCCCACTGGGAGAGCGGGAGTGCCCATTCGCGTGCGTTCGCAAAGCACGCCGATGTCCGCCCAAGTCCAACGCTAACCCTGGACCCTCTGAAGAAAAAATGTGAATCGCCACAGTGACTGCTTTTATTACGGGATGCTTGCGCCGCGTTCGCATTCCCATGCGAACTCCTGACCCCATCTGCGGGAGCGGAAATGCTGTGCTTCAAGTAATGGCTCGCAAAGACCTCCAGACGGCCGACATGACTGAACTCCAAGACGGCCCAGAAGGGCCCAAGATGGCCTTGGAAGGCCCCACGACGCCTCCACAAGACAGCCCTAAAGCAAACGAACACGAGGTCGAAAGCTAAATCTGGCATGCGGGAGCCCTGCACCCCCGACGGGGTGCTGGGCGCTGGCAAGATACGGCGCGCCATCGTGCTTCCGAGAAAACCAGATGTCGTGCAAATCCATATTTTTTGGGGGCCGTCCTCGCGACTGCGCGTTGACTGCCGTCTGCAGGGCTCGCAGCGCTGTCCCGGAGCACCACTTTGTGGCTCTGCTCCAATACGGCCCAGGATGCCAATCGAACTCTTTCATGGAATGCCTCCTCTGCAGGGGTGGCCCGCACGGTCCACTCCACGGAAGGTTGCAGTTCCGTGCCCGTTCTCTTAGCGTTCTCGCCGTTCGCTTGGAGGCCGCTGCTTGCTCAGAAAACTCAAGGACCCCCAAAGCAGCTCCAAATGGTCGCGTTCACAAGACAGCCCAAGGGAGCTCCTCGTTCGCAAGACAACCAAAAGACGCTCCAAACAGCGCCCAAGACAGTCCCAACACGGCCTGGAAGGGCCCCATAGGGCCCCACGAAGGATGATTCTGATGATAATGATGATAATGATGAGGGGGAAGAGGAAGAGTACGCGGATGAGGATGTCCAGGAGAAACAGCAGCAGGAGATGGGGAGGAGTGCAATCATTTGGAAGAGTTTGGAAGAGGAGCAAGCCTGAGGGACGCACGTTGCCAACTCCAGCCTCGCCGCCCACATGTTTCGAATTCTGCCGCTCGCCGAATTGACTGCATGCAGTGTTTGTCCAGTCGTGTCCCTCGCGAAGCGGTCTATGATAATGGCGGTGGGTAGTGCCCAGGAGGGAGGCAATGGCAGGCTTACTCCCCTAAGCAGATTGCCGAACTCTCTCTTCCTGACCTTGCCAACAGGTCGTGCTTGCAACCACTAGTCCTGCCTTGTGGTGGCCCAACTCTTGAATACCCCGTTGCTGTGCCGATTTCACCCTCGATTCGGCCTCATTGATATGGACATGTTGGCGATAGAGATACCTCTGATCATCATTTGCCTGAACGTGAACGTGAAATCAATGTCTGGCGTTCCACGTATCGCTGTCCTCCTCCTCCTCCTGTCCCTGATTTCGAAGGCAAGAATTGACTGTGGCAACCAAGGGGAAAAGCTTTCTGTACTGAGATGCCTCTAAGCAGATCGCCCCAGTCCGAAATCGCCACCAGGCATCCCAACTCCAACAACTTGATTGCAAGCTGGTGTGCCCACCTGGCGCACGAGAAATTCAACCCGTGGTGCATCTGCAACTGCTTCGGCTGCCGCCAGTGACACCCACCCCGTACATGGCACTACTTGCATGGCGCACGCGGAGGACAGCAGTACTCAAAGCCGACAAGTTCGCATATTCTATCAGGATTCCTCTCTGTCTCTCTCTCTCTCTCTCTCTCTCTCTCTCTCCCGGGCTCTCCCCACTTAACCAAGATGCGTTGTGATCGGGGTTGTGGCACGTCTTACGTCGAGGCCAATACCAACCTCGTTTTCGCAGCATGGCAGGCATGCCGCCCCTGCTGCCTCGTGTTCACCAGCACGGCTCGTCCCCAATCCACCTTGCGAACTCCTACCAGCGAACCACTCCAAGCAGCTACTGATGCAATCGAAGGGGGAGCATGCCCGCCCATGCGTGTATGGACGTGGAGAGGGAGGATGAGGAATGCTAGGAGGAGAAGGAGGACAAGGAAGAGGACGATAATGGTAAAAGGACCGAATGAGGATGAGAAAGGTGAATGCCCGAACCTCCCTCTCTCTCTCTCTCCTCCTCGTCCTCCTCCCGCTCCTTCCTTCCCCTTGTCCAAAGCTTGGCGCGCTCCTGGCTTTGAGGTGCGTGGCCACCTGGGCTGGGCGTGCCAGCCGAAGGCCCCAAACGCGCCACGAAAAAAGGTGCGCCCGTCCGGAGAGCTCTTTTCGGCACCCGGGTGGAGAACCACAGTCCGCCTCCTTCCTGCCCCGCAGACAGAAGACTCAACCACGCCAAGGAGACGCGCTGCGAAGAGGAAAAGGAAACGTAAAGGGAGGAGGAAGTGAGGAAGAGGAGGAGGAGGAGGAGACTGGAAAATGGAACGCCAAAAGCAAATCGGATTAACAGAAAAATAATTCATTGGATCGTCAATCGATGAAAGACGTGTGAAGCGAGTGTCAGACAGGTGCGGGCGGCAAGCCTGGAAGCAAACAGCCACAAGGAAACCGGGCACGGAAAAAAGGCAGAGATATTGCGGTGCTACCGTTTGAATGTGGTGCTCAATCGAGTATGTTGTGTCTCGTCGGTCAGCGCAAGCAAACCATGTGCCAACCAACGCAGCATTCGATACAGGTATTGGTATTTACAGTTAGGATGGAGCAGGCTTCAAGCTTTCATGTCGCCTGCAGCTCCACGAGCGCAGTTCGCGGAAACAACTCACTCACTTGCACGGTTTGCTACGTCGCATTCGAGACCATAGTTCGCGACGTGCAAGCGTCTGTGTCATACCTGTTTGCATGGGATACACATTCCGAGGGGAACCCGTCACTATATACATCATCGCGTGACATAAGTACCTGCCCCGGATGTGTTTCTTCTCGCCAGCGTATTAGGTGTGATCTTCCGTCGCGTCGTTGTGGTGCTCTCGGAACTCGGGTCATCCCAGAACATAGTGATGCGAATGCTCTTCGTGCGTCGCATCGTCGTTGTGCTGAACACCCCCAACTGCAGGATCGTCAGGATGAGTGGCGTTGGGATCTCGTCCTGCCAGAATGAGGGGAAAAAATGGGTGTGGCGACAGGTCATGCTCTCAAATATCGAAGACAGATCGTCCCAGGTCTATTTCGCTGTCCCTTGGAATGCTGACACCATAGTCGCCAGACCCTCCACGGATTTCCAGCCTTTCTCCGGCTGTTCTTTCCAGGCTCTCGTAACATAGTCGCGAAGAGCTCGGGACCCTTGGCTGGCGCCGCTGATGCGTATGCTGTATCGGTTAACTGTTTATCACTCGCAGGTGAGGCCCCACTTGTGGGTATTTCCATTTGTGAGGGAACTGTGGCCGTACGATCCGCGAACTGCTCAAACATAGTCAGGGCGAACCTGGGACAGAGAGCATCGAGAGGCGGCGGGGTGCCGTACTTGTAGTGATTGAACATTGTCCAGCTTGAAATCAATATGGGGGTGCACGACATCGTCCGCCGATCCTGAAAGCGGTGAACACATTGGTGATGAACCAGGGTGTCAAAGACGGCGAACACGTTGAACATGTCGAAAACGGTGAGGTTGGGAAAGCTGATGCCGTCGAGGCGCAGCGAGGACGAGAAAAAACAACGCGGGCCATGGCGGCAGTGGGTCGCAGAGCCGAAGCTCCGCTACCACCTAGACAATGGGGTGTAAGATATGAATCCTGTAAACAAAAATACTCTATCTGAGAGTCAAACGGGTGAACGTGGTGTCGAAAGAGTGTCATGCGGACACGGGGGGCTAGCCTTGCGCCAAACAGCCACAAGGAAACCAAGCATGGACAAAAAAAACAGAAAAGGTGCACTACTCCCGTTCGGGTAGGCGGAAAACGAGGAAGAGAAGGATGACGAAGGAGGAGGGGAAAAACGTCGGGAGGATAACATGTTCTGGGGGCAAGGGGCTTCTGCGGGGGGGGTGGGCAACTGTTCTGAAACAGCGACGGGAGAGGGGGGAAGAGGGTGGGTGTGTCGGAATGGGAAAATGGGGCCATCTTCAGCCTCCTCCATCCTCCTCCGTATTCCCTCCTCCCTCATCCCTCTTCCCTCTCCGAAGGGTAGACGGATGGAGGGAAGAAAGTAAAAAGGAGGGGAGAGGATATGATGTGGGAGAAGAGACGGTAGTGGGCGGGAGGGGAGGGGCAACAAGGAGGGGGCGACAGGGAAGACTTCGGCAGCACGAGCTCTCCTCAAGGACTCCGTACCCCGACTGCGAAAGATTTTAATGGAATGGAGATTTGGGAGCCCTGGGGTTCCACTTGAAAATCATTTTGGACCGAACGACTTCCAAACATCCTGGCGAACACAAGCGGGCTCTTCGTGCACTCCCCCACTGTAGCGGAAGCAATCGTTGTAAACGGAGGTGAGCTGAGGAGTGTTGAGGCTTGAGAACGGACAACACGTTTCTGCGCATGAGCAGATCAATCTGCTCAAGGAAATGTCGGCTCATATCACTGGATTCCTTCACGCAACTTGCAAGGTCTAGGCCTGCAGTTTCTCTCGCTGCGTCTACAAAGGTCAAGGAATGCAACCCGAATCCTTACTCTCCCTTCGAGGAGCGCCGGGGTGTGGGCGAAAGGGGGGGAGACGGACGTACGGTAGTGAGCGAGGGTCGGGGGAGCCAAAAACAACTGAGGCGGGTTATCATGATGACAGAGGGGCAGGATGGGAACCGGTGATGATGACGATGAGGATGACGAGGCTGAGTATGACGATGATGCTGATGATGATGATGATGATGATGATGATGATGATGATGGTGATGATAATGATGACGATGATGAGGACGACGACGGCGATGACGATGACGATGGTGCTGTGGGGAGAGAGAGAGAGAAAACAAAAAAGAGAGAGAAGAGCAGGGGAGGCCGCCCAAACCTCCTCCTCCTTCTCCTCCTCCCTTTCCCCCCCTCCTCCTCCCCTCCTTCGTCTCTTCCCCGTCGTCACCAACGAGAGCAAGGCAGGCGTGTAGCAACAAGCACCCCAAAGCTCTGCTGCCCCATCGGCGGCTGCATCGACACCTCCCGCTGCTTTCCGCGCGCGGCCCACACTCGCGACTCCGAACTATTACCGTTCCGATCCCAGGCGTGCCCCTACACATGCGCCCCTTCTTGTCCTCCTTCCCCTTCTCCTCCTGCTCCTTCTCTTTCCTTCCTCCTCATCCTTTTCTCCTTTCAATCCCGAACTCTCTCCCCCCAACGCACCACGAGACGTGTCCGCAAGTCGGGCTGGGCGATTCGCCAGGGGCTTACTCAGGATTTACGGTCCTGACGCCCCAAAGCAAAATCTGTTACAACAATGGGGGGTCGGCCGTTTTCGAAATTCGGCTCTCGCCCTAGCTCCGCGCGCATTCGTTTCAAAGGCCTCCAGCGCTTGCAACTGCGGAGCCTGGCTCGTTTCCAAAATGCGGCTCTCGCCGTAGCGCGTCGCACACTCATCATAAGAAACCTAACGTTTACACATATTGTGGTGGTATTTTTCGAAATGCGGCTCTCGCCTTTGCGCCGCACTGCGGGTTTTTAGCGCTTGCAGCAATTTCAAGCCTGCAGGCCAGTTCGTTTACACAACGGGGCCCTCGCTGGATGCTCCATCGAACTCTACGACCCGACGTTCCAACTGGCGCAGCAAGTCATCGTGTGGAGGGTGGCTCCTTCTCAGCACGGGGCTCTCGATGGAGACTGTCGGGCCTCTGTTGGCCAGAGCTTCAGACTTGTGCACTGCTTGCACGGATGGCGAGCACCTCCTCTTCGAAGCGGGGCTATCGCTGGACTCCTCTGTGGGCTTGCTCGTCCTGCCTCTTTGCGTTCCGCTCGGCTGGGAGGGCGGATCCCTTTCAGAACGGGGCCTCGCCTGAGTGGCAGGTCCGCCGGGCCCTCGTCATTCCAGGGTTGCACTTTTTCCCGCAATGGGAAAGAAGACTTCCAGGAACCCATGAGGAGGGGACCCGGGGTGGGAGGGTGTCTTGCAGCATCGTTGGTGCATCCTGGTTTTACTCTGGCCCTCCTCCTCCTCCTCCTTTTCCTGCTGCTCCTCCCCTTTCACCTCGTCCTCCTTTCCCCTGCCGTTGCTGCTCTTCCTCCTCTGCTTCTGCTCCTTCTCCTTCTCCTCCTCCACCTTCTTCTTGCCCTCCCCCTCCTCAAACCCCTCTTCCTCCTCTTCTCGCTCCTCCATGTCCCCCCCCCCCTTCTGAGCTCAAATCAGGACTTGGTGCGTCGGGCCAAACCCTTCGGGGCAGCAGGACGAGGAAAACGAGCGGCTGCGACGGAGAACGCGAAAGGGCGCCACCCCAGCGCGCCGAACTGGCTCATGGGGGAGGGGCCTCTCCCGAGACACGAGCGCGGACGGGGCGCCCCGACAATAGCCGCCCCCCCCTCCCAGAGCCGTGCGCGCCCGCCGGGGCTTGGTGCCCTCCGCCTCTCCTCCCCAGGTGTGCGGCCCCGGGGGCCCACGGGAGGACGCAGGCGCACGGTTTCCCTCGGGGCCGTAGGCGACCCGAGGAGGAGGAGGAGGAGGAGGAGGAAGGAGGAGGAGGAGAGGAGGAGAGGAGGAGGAGGAGGAGGAGAGGAGGAGGAGGAGGAGGAGGAGGAGGAGGAGGGAGGAGGAGGAGGAGGAGGAGGAGGAGGAGGAGGAGGAGGAGGAGGAGGAGGGAGGAGGAGGAGGAGGAGGAGGAGGAGGAGGAGGAGAAGGAGGAGAGGAGGAGGAGGAGGAGGAGGGGAGGAGGAGGAGGAGGATGGAGGAGGAGGCGGAGGTGGAGGAGGAGGAGGAGGAGGAGGAGGAGGAGGAGGAGGAGATGAAGGAGGAGGTGGAGGAGGAGGAGGAGGAAGAGGAGGAGGATGAGAAGGAAGAGGAGGCGGAGGACGGGTCGCCTAAACCCTTCGGATAAACCCTCCAGACGCAAGGGGGCTTGCCCTGAGCGATTTGCGCGCGCCCTGGGGCACCCTGGCCGGAGCGCACTGGACGAGGGCCCGTGCCAGCCATGCCGCAGAGGGCCACGTCGGCGAAACCTTCGCCCGCGAGGACCGCCGCTCCCAGCGCCCCTCCGACCCGTCCAGCGGATCTCGCGGCTCCAACGGCCACGGGAGCAGCGGCCCACTCTTGCGGGCCGCGTACTGGGGGGGCCCCCGGAGCCGAGGGGCCGCGAAGGGACTTTTTGTGACAGTCTTGGTTGTCCTACTGCCCATATTGGTGCCACAAATCCGCCACCGTGCCTCTGGCACGAAGTGGAGTGCCTCAAGGCTCATGCAGTACTGAGAAGTTAGCCGCTGGGCTGCTTCTGCAGCGAGCATTCTAAGTCTTTAAGGTCCCGGACCAGGCGTGTCCCAAATCTTACCAGAGTTTTCTGGGCTGGCTCCCGTGAGTTCTGATGTGTTTCCTGCGCCTCCTGTGGACGCTGTGCCCCTCCAAAGCGACCTCCAAAACCCTCCCATGAGTCCAGAGGGCCCCGAGTCGCCGAACGATCGCTCCAAGACGCGACAAGAGGCCTCCAAGAGGTTTCTCAAGAGGGCCCCGAGAGGCACAACTTATTGATTTCTCTTAGGTTTTTGAAGGATTTTGGCGTTCTCGCCTTTGCGGCTTTCCGACGCCCAAAGACGGTCCAAGAAATCCCAAGACCATCCCACGACGGCTCAAGAGGCCTCCAAGAGGGCCCAAAGATGGCCTAAAAGGGGCCCGAGACGGCCCAAGAGGCGCCCAAAACGGCCCTAGAGGGGCCTCAGAGAGGGAACGCGAAACAAAATTCCGAGCCTTCCGCCCCAAAAGGCCTCCAGGATGCCCCAAGAGGCGCCCAAGATGCCCCAAGAGGCCCCGAGAGGCACCCAAGAGGCCCCCAGAGGCCCCCAAGTGGTCCAAAAGAGGCCCTCAAAGGCCCCAAAACGGCCCCCAAGAGGCCTTCAAACTGCCTCCAAGAGGCCCCCGAGAGGCCCCCCACGAGATACCACCGAACATCCAATAGGCTTTACCTATACGACCACCCTCGGGGTGAGAAGGAGGTGGTAGGGGGGCGGAAAAAAAAAACAACTGATGGCAACCGCGATGACTGTGATAATGACGATGCTGGTGATGCACCCTCGAGTTGGCGATGATCGCTCTTATCTTGCTATCGATCTCACTATCGGTCTCACTATCGATCTCACCACGGGACACCGCCAGGGCACCGACAGGGACGCCGACGGGACACCAACGGGACACCAACGGGACACCGACGGGACACCGACGGGACACCGACAGGGACACCGACGGGACACCGACGGGACACCGACGGGACATCGACGGAACATCGACGGCACACCAACGGGGCACCAATGGGTCACCGACGGGACACCACGTCGGGATACCAACAGGATACCAAGAAGACACCGACGGGACACCGACGGGCCATCGATGGGACACCCCTGGCCAACGCGCGCCAAGGGGGGGGAAGGGCTGACAACCGGCTCCACAGCCCCTAGCCACGGCGGCATCATTCCTATCGCGCGCCCACGCACCTTCGCCTCGCCCGCACGCACGTCGCGAACACGAAACCGAAACCGATTTCCCGGTGTGAGGATCTTTGCCCACTGCGATCTCACCCCCAAACCTCCGATGCCCACAACCCATGCACGGTGGCGGGAGGGGCCGAAGGCCATTAGAAATCTTTCGAGAGCTGGTTTGCAATCACTGTTTGTCGTATTCAGACGAGGAGGAGGAGGCGGAGGAGGAGGAGGAGGAGAAGGAGGAGGAGGAGGAGGAGGAGGAGGAGGGGGAAGGAGGAGGAGGAGGAGGAGGAGGAGGAGGAGCGAAATGAGGAAGGGTATGGGGGATGGTGGATGATGGGGACGACACGGCCAAAGTGAGGAAACGTCGGGGCCAAAGGCGGTGGAGTAGCAGGATGATGAATGGGAGGGTTAGCGAAAGGATTGACGGTTCCGAGAAACAATCTGTAGAGGGAAATAAACGGAGAAGCGCTTCAACGGAAAGGGGGAGGAGGAGAATGAGGAGGACAACGGTGACGAGGACAATAGAGGGAAAGGAGGATTCGGTTCGGGGGCCGTGGGGACCTGGTCAAGCCAGGGTACGCTCGAGCACTCATGCCTCCGGGAATGCGGCACCACTCTTGGGCGACAGGCACCTCGACAAACGACTGAGCACACAGTCTTAGAGGGTGGGAAGGACATACTGCCTGCTCAAGTTCCCATAATTGAATGCACCATAGCCCCGCAATGAGAACAAAACCAAAATCCTCGCACCGCGGCTAACTGATTAGAACCGTAAGCCCTTGGAAACAGAGGGTGATCCAGGTGGGTCCCAGAAGTCTGCGCTTTTGGGCCAGAGGACGGACTGGGGAAGAACCTCCGCAAAGGGGCCCGCAACAGAAACCTCTGACAACAAATTTGACATGTCAAATTCTCGCCACGATTGGCACAGGAATTCCCCGCCTCTCTGAGGCGGGCCTGCCTGGTGCTGGGAGACGAGAAAGCGCCGGGCCTCGGTGTAGCTCGGCCGACGCGATGAGCCGCCAGGCGCTTGAACTGGGTGGCCACCTCCATGTTGGTGGCCAGCCAGTCTACACTGGACAGAGTGGGTGAGGGCATCGCCGTGTGCAACCTGCTGCGCAATCTGGGGAGGGACTGCGGACGATTCAGCAACCCATCCAGCAGAGAAATCTGCGCACCCATTCAGAAACAATTCATCGCACCGAATTGCAATTTTGTCCTGCGGCTCTTCAGTCGCATGAGACTTAGTCCAGATCGCGGTGATCCTGCCTGGACCTCTCCGATCGATCGCATCCCAGATCCGAGCCCACATATCGATCATGGGCGAGTGCTGGGAGATGTGAGCTCGCAACTTAGACGTCGCACGGCATAGAAACAGACAATCAACATAGCACGCGCTATCACACATACTATGGTTCATCAGGACCAAGAGGGCGAACAGCTCCGCCCTCGGACTTGCTTGCTCGGCTGTGGGGAGGCTGCCGCGACATGCAGCGCTGAGGCGAGGTTGGCCCGCATGGGCTTCCCTGGGACGCACCGCAGACCACCCG